AGCAGAAACTACCCAATTCCGCACAGTGCCTCAATGCAGTTACCATGATTATATGAAGATATCAAGTGCTTAGAGAGGTACTTGAAACATGCTGTTCTTGTTCTTATGACTATTGTCCATATGATGCAAAAATTTGTATATTGGGTTCATGGAGCCCCTGAAGTATATTTACAGACCAGGTTCCAGGACTAAGAACCCCCACTTTGACTAAGTTCTTTTCATTGTATGGTGAGCCTTCACAAACTGGCCTTCAAACTCTTTTTCCCTCCCCCTAGTCCAGTCCTTCCCAACGTTTTTACATTATAGTACTCAAAGAAAATGGCAATATTTATACAACACTGGAGTGAAGAGATGAGGTGGCCCTCAACCTGGAGTAAATGGTTCAGGGACTCTGCCTGCCCCAAAGACTGAGGGGCTCAGTATCTCACAACACCCCTGCCAGATGGAAAGCTCTGCTCAAATCGATTATTTACCCTGCATAATAACAGCAATTTAGCTTTCCTAAAATACTTCCACACATCCTTTGTATGTAACAAAAATAATACCCAGAATTCTTGGTCTGATGTTCAAGATCAAGGCATGGGGTTGAAAAAGAGAGCAGAAATTTTCTTTATTTTACAGATGACAAGGTGAAGCCCAAGGTTAAATGACTTATCCAAAACATGCTAGTAGAGGTCCATTATCAAGGTCAAGTTCAAGTACCACTACCTTTATCAAGGCTTCTCAGTTCACATTAGGAAATGAATGCTTCCTCCTCTAAACTCTCAGAATACTCAATCACATACTGTACAGGAAGAAGAAGCAGATCAAGACCTGTTTCAGCCTGAGTTTCTCTGTGTTAAAAGAGGTGATCATTTACTGGGGTGCAGGATTTTACAATGGACTGATTTATAAATTAGAATGCCAATTCACTGATAAATAGAAAATAAATGTACAACTTAAACTGGATAGTCAATGTAACCTGGGGTCAGCAAACATTTTTCTGTAAACTGATAGTAAATATATGACAGACATAATCTGTTACAGCTTTTTATATTTTTTTACAATGCTTTGAAAATGTAAATATCATTCTCAGTTCACCATAAAAAAGGCCATGGGATGCATTTGACCAGGTGCCTTAGTTTGCTGACCCTTGATATCTATTGCCAGAAAGAAAGCTGACTTGGGAAGCAAACTGCATCATCAGAAGGCTGTTTGATGAGTAAAACAATCAGAATAAATTCAGTCAGGAAATAAATATATTTTGAGAGTCTACTCTGTGCCAGGTACTGTCCTTGGTCCTAGGGCCACAGTAGTGAATAAGATGCAAATCCAGTCCCAAAAGATGATGAGTATGATGAGAGATGACTGAAGCATTTTAAACAGAGGAGTAAGATAAATCATTTGCAGTGCTGTTCAGAAGCAAGACTGAGGTGGGAGAAGAAAAGTGGAGATGGAGTACAAGGCTATTACAGTAGCCCAAGAAAGAGAGGACTGTCTCAGACCAAGGCAGTAGTGGTGGAAGTGATAAAAAGATGGTTGAACAGTTAGATTTAGGATATATTTTGGAGACAGATCAACCAGAGTCACCAATGAACCAAATGAGAATGCAACCAGGAAGATGGTGTTGCTATTCTTGAAACTGAGGAGGTTAGAAGGTGAACAGGATTTGGACCCTGGGCACAGAGGGAGATTGGTCCTGGGATAAGATCAGGGACATGGAAAAGTGAACTCACATGGGGAAGGCAGAAGGGCTGTCTGGCACCTTTGAGTATCACTTTAGATGTAGGGCCATTACAATCACTTTAATTGTAATTTTTAGTGAGTTCTTAACAAAAAGCACCCAATTTAACTCTATCAAAAATGTTGTTTTTATAAGTAGATCTTTTCCCCTTTTAAATTATATAGATAAGTATTTCTGATGACAAAAATATATATAGGTACAAGTTAGAAAGCATAATAAATTCAATCTGCCCTTAAATCTTTGCCAATAATTTATATCTACCTTTGTTCTCCTTCCTAATCCCATCTCCTTGTCCACTCCCTTCCCCAACCCCCAACAATTCATACCCTGAATTTTGTGTTTACTGTTCTCTTACCTTAAAAACATGTATGCATTTTTTTGCCTAAACAATTTTTAGTCTTCCTTGTATTTGAACTTTATAGAATGGCATGTAGGACTCAGCTTTTTGAAACTCAGCATTGTTTCCAAATATATCCATATAACATGTGTATTCATTCATTTATTCTGCTTAATTTTATGGCAGTATTATAATTTAATTATCCATTTTCTATATAAATACGTTTGGTTTTTCCACTTTTTGCTGCTATTAACAGTGCTGCTGTGAATATGCTTTTATAGTTTCCTGGTGCATATATGCAAGAGTTTCTCAAGTGTATATTCTGGGTCAGTAAAAAGTCCACACAGTTTTTTCCATAAATTAAAAGACACATTTTTCATTTTCACCAATAACTTTATTGATCTGGGTATTTTGAATAAGTCCGCTATCTCCTGCTATTGGCTTCCAGTGGGTAGAAACCAGGGGTGCTGCTAAACATCTTGCAATGCATAAGAGAGCCCCACAGCAGAGAATTATTTGGCCAGAATGTCAATAGTACCAAGAAACTTTGCAAACCACTTTCGACATGTTCAAACAGTCACAGCACCTTCTTCATATACTGCACAAATCTTTTTTTGTGTTTCAGTTGCATTTTTACCTTCTTTGAAATAATAAAACATAATACACTGAAAATGTTACCTATTTTCTTCCATCTTCAAAATTAAAATGGCTGAACAAAAATTCAACAATTTTGGTAATTTTTTATAATGCACGCTGATTTGACACCTGTCACAACACTGTCTATCAAAATTGTTTCAAATGAAGTTAAAGATAACTAACCACTACTAGAGCCATCATTCGGAAAAAACTAAATGAACTTTCTGGCCAACCCATACACAGGGTCCAGCACAAATAATACCCCTTTTCTTTTTTTTTTTTTAAAGCCCATGTTCATTTCTTTTTTTTTAAGATTTTATTTATTTATTTATTTTTTAGAGAGAGGGAGGGAGGGAGGGAGAGAGAGAGAGAGAGAGAGAGAGAGAGAGAGAGAGAGAGAGAGAGAGAGAAACATCAATGTGTGGTTGCTGGGGGGTTATGGCCTGCAACCCAGGAATGTACCCTGGCTGGGAATCGAACCTGGGACACTTTGGTTCCCAGCCCGCGCTCAATCCACTGAGCTACGCCAGCCAGGGCTCCCCTTTTCTATTACAAAATAATAATCATATAATTCTGTAACAAAATAATATCACACTCAAGCACACCATATAACACTTTAGGTGAAATGTTTAAATTAAAACCATAAATTATTACACCCATATTACCCTACAAACCACATTCAAGCAGGCTTTACTTCTGCTGAACCCCGTGTATGAGTGGAAACTGCTGGACCATAAAGTGTGTATGTTGACCTTTACAAGATTTTGTCAAATTGCTTTTCCAAGTGGTTATATCAACTTACCCTCGTGGCAATAATGTGTAAGAATTCCTATTGATGCACATGTGCTCCAGAATTTGGTATTCCTAGACTAAATTTTGTCAATTTACCGAATGAAAAACAGTATCTCAATGCAGTCTTTTTTGTATTTGTGGATTAATAACAGACAGGGCATCTTCTCATATATTTATTAGTCATTGCATTTCTCCTTCCACATTGGTATTTCTTATCCATTTTTCCTTTTCAATAATCTATCAACCATCATAACCTTCTGCTACTTACATTTTCTCTTGAAAGATTACAGGTTATTTTACATTTGCCACATGTATATCTCCTATTTTCCCTTTTGGGGCACTTAGAGCACATTGATAAAGTAGAATCTGTAACGCATTTATAAGCCACCTAAGTAGTTCTGTGGGTTTTTGGGTAATTGTTCACATATCACTAATCCTATCCTTGATCAGATTAAGATTCTCAGTCTTTGTCATTTACGAGGATGTATATCCTACATTAGTTTAGACCTTTATTCTTACAAGTTTTAACTCCTCTACTCCGTGACGTTGAAAAGGCGCGACCATGTCATACATATCTTTAAACCACTATTGCAAGTATAGCGCCAGCACACTGCGTGTATTTAATACCTTCTTCTGTGATTTTTACCGCTGTGTACAAGACCGTCCTGAAAATAAAGTCCACACTTATTTTACAACTGGCACCAGCATTCGGCGACCATGGGGTTTTACTCGCCCATCTCTGCCACTTCACGTTGAAAATGTGCCAAGAATCACCTGCAGGTCTCTTACCTATAGTTAGGCGGCGACGGGCTCCTTTCTTGTCTTTGTTCACTAAACTGAGAGAGGGGTCACAACTGAAGGGGCTGCGGGGGGAGAAGGTTCTCACCTCTCCCTACAACCCCGGCTTTCCGCGGGAGAACACTTCAGGAATTGTTTTTCTTTAAATATACAGCATAAGAAGAGCAGTAACCACATCTACAACAAGGGCCCAAAATTCATGGTCATGAGTTCTTGTGCACGTTTTGTAAGAGCAAACCGTACAAACACAAGGTCGCCCAAACACGAACACACGTGAGAAAACACACCCACGAAAACACACCCACGTGCTCGGATCTGCTCCCGCGGCTCCAGGTCTTTGAAACCGAACAGAGAAAAATTACCTTAGCATCCTACTTCACACTTTCGACAATACCTTTTCAGCAAAAGTAAAGCCTAAAGGGTTCAAAATAATTCATTAAAAATGTAATCTTTTTGTTGTTTATGTGTCTTCTTGTCTTTGTGTTTTTATGAGGATTAATTTGAGTCTTCATACTGAGCCTGTCCAGGAGCACACGTGTGGAAACTGCGACAAATTAGACGAGGCTGCAGGGGAGGCGGGATGGAGATTGTGACGCCATCGCTGCGGGGCGGAGGCGACGCTGTCAGAGAAAGGGTTCAGAGTGCCGCTACCGCCAGACCCCCACCCCACCCCCGGCGGCTAAGAGACGTCGAGGGTCTCGGTCCGCGTGAGCTTTGGTCCGCCCACGTGGAGTCCCCGCTTGAAGATGGCAGACGATCTTGGAGATGACTGGTGGGAGAGCCAGCGGGCTGGAGCAGCCAGCAGCCCAGGTACCTACTCTGCCTCTTTCCTGCGGGGCCTCATCCAGCCCCCACCACCAAAAATCCGCCCCACACCCCCGGCCCCGGCCCCAAGCCCTTCCTGGCGCCTCCTCGGGGGCCCGCCTGTGGCGGTCACCGGTTCAGTCCCGTGGTGGCGCGCACAGCTGTGGGAGCGCACGAGCACAGCCGAGGGGGTGCGTGCAACTCACTAACACGTGGGACAGACAAGTATGACATTAACTTAGATCTGCCCGGCAGTCACGAAGGGCCCTTTTCCAACCTTTGTTTTTCTTTGCCTTATTTCTTAATGGATAAAACAGTTTTCATAAAGACATACATTTTGGGTGTAGTGATTAAGAACAACTTCTGGATTAGGTTCAGACTGCTTCTGCTCAAGTGGCGACTGCCGCCCTCTAATAGTGTTTTGATTTTTTTCCCCCTCATCTGTAAAATAAGGATCATAATAATGCCAATTTCATAAGGTTGTGATGAGGATTAAATGAAGATAATATAAATGAAGCACTTCAGCACAGCTCTTGGCACATAATATGTGCTTGGTAAAATAAGCTGGTTTTTCTTGCTATCATCATCATCATGTAATTTGGATTATTAGAATCTAAAGGAAGCTTAGATAGAGATTGTCCTTTTGAACTCAGTCATTTTACAGATGAGGAACATGAGACCTAAGGATTAAGTAACTTGACAAATGCACATAACTAGTTGGGATAGAAAACAAGCCTTTAATTCAGTTAACACAATTCAGACAATGTTTACTATGCTGTGTATACCCAATGCCAATGCAGTGGACATTTTATTCTAGAGTAGATAGCATTAACTCCTCACAATAGGTCTGGCCTTGAACTTTTCTTTTCAAGTCCCATAAGGCTTAGTACACAATTACGTTCTTTATCTTTATTCAAAGTCTGCCTCCTTACTAGCTTCTGAGGTTTGTTTTTTGTTTTTGTTTTTGTTTTTGTTTTTTGGACAAAGCCGAAGTCTGATTTATGTCTGTATAGTCCACAGGGCCCTGCACATGACTGATACTTAATACAGATTTGCTGCACACATTAATATTGAAATACGAGTTGTGAGATATCTGTTAAAAACAACAAAATTCTACCAAAGCATGTTTCCACAAGGGCAGTTCTCAGGTACAAACTGAGCAGATGTCATTTTAAAAAACATAGCCTTTATAATACTTTCTTCGTTAAACTTCCTGACTCTTTTGCATCTTTGTTTCTAGTAAACATATCTCTTGTGTTTCAAGGCACAAATATCTTTCTTTGTAGCCTGTGTTGTCCCAAATTTACTCTAATAACCCTTGTCTCCCTAACTCAGGTGTTAAAAGATATATTTTATGGTATGATTCAAGGGTAGAGACCACTTAAATAATTGAATTCTTTTCTAGTGGTGAAGTGGGTCCTAATTCTTGATTCTAGTCCTGCCTCTTGCTCCTCATCAGCTATGTGTCTCTGAAGTTAGTTACCCTTTGAAAAGAGTGAAATCCACTTGTATAGAGCATCAATTATATGCTAGATATTTTCATAAATATGAATTTATTTCATCTTTATAACATCTTTTAAAGATAAGTGTCATTTTTATAGATGAAAAACTGAGAAATAGGAACACACAGCAAGGAAAAGATCTGGGAAGAGTTTATTCAAGTGTGCCTGACTTTCTAAGTCACACTTTCCCACTGTTATTACATGGCTTCTCTGGGCCACAATGTCATGTTCTGTAAAATGAGGGATCCCTAAAGATTATCTTTTTAGGGGTTTTACCCACCAACATTCTACACATTAAATCTAGTAGAACTTTAAAGTGTTACAGCCTCATTCATCTCAGTTGCCAGGATCCCCATCGAGATAGTGTGTTGGAGTCCCCAGGATCACCGTACTTCTTAGATTCCTTCTAGCTGTAAGATTGAAGTTTGAAAATCAGTAACATTAATTTTTTCAGAGGCCTTTGCTTTGTTAACTGCTTTTAACTAAAGTGAGCATGTAAGCTTCCTTGAGATCTGCTTGAGTGATTATTTACTAGTAATTTGACTAACTAATCTGTGGTATTTCTAATTCAGAAGAAATCACAGCTGAACCAATTTAGATTTCCTGCTTCTTCCTACATTAATAGGGAAAGATCAGCCTAAAATGTATAAATTGTGTTTTGTTTTGAAGGACAAAGTGGAAATAGTGCCTTCAGTCAAAGAAAAGTAAGATAGTTGTAATGATGGTTTTATTCCTGTTGTGTATTATGCTACTTGCCTGTAAAAGTTAACATCTTTCCTTATCACCTGTTCACAGTTTATACCTATGGTGATGATACAATGGAGCATTTTAGTTACTTATTCAACAAATATTTGTTGGCTTTACACTGTGTATAACACTTGTCTAATGTATCCACTGTTTATTGTGTGTCTAAGAAAATGTACCATGTTTTTGCTGTTTCCATGACTTCTTAGATGTGGAATGAAATTCACAGGCTCTTACTGTTGCTCTTGACTTAAATATGACCCTTTTTGTATGCATTTTATGGCTCTTCAAGACCTGTCATATTCATATTAGAATCCTGCATTGTACTGGAGCCCAACATAGAGCCTGGCACTTGATGTTTCATAGATATAGCTGAATGAATGTGTGAATACATACATACAAGATGCTATAGAGTTCTTGGTGACCATATCCATAAGCAGACATATAATTTCTCATCCAATCTAGACACTTTTGAGAGTGGAAGGCCATGCTATTAGAATTTTGCTGGGACTGTCCTGGTCCACCTGGGATGTGTGATCACTCGTTTGGTGACGTCATTGGTGGTGATTGGGAGTCACTGTCCAGATAAGACAGCCAAGAGTTACTTCTGTTGAGGAGCATGCAGTGCAGTCTGCTTTAGGCAGCAGAACCTAGGAGTCATCTAATGGCATCTAATATTTCATTTTATTTCACTGATTTTCTTATGCCCTGTCTACTTTAAGAAATTATTTGAATTGATTTACAGTAAAGAATCATGCAATAGTATCATGATTGCAAACATTAACGATAAAGTCAGCAGGTGCATCTGCCTGAGATTTAATGTAGTTGACCCACTGTGAGGCTGAAAACTGAGAGAATGTTATTCACTGCATGGATTTTGTGAATTATGGAGTTGGAGGTGGCCATTTAATCAGTCACTAACTGAAAAGAACACTGTTTCCCTCTTTATTCCAGTAAAATGCCTATTAAATTACCAAGTCAGTGTCCAGCAGGCAGCTGGGTTTGGAGCTCCAGGGTTGGGTCAGGGCTGCACATACAGATTTAGGAATGACTGGCAAGCACATAGCTTATTTTTAAAGAGGATGGTGTTAACAGTCTGCAAACTCTTAGCCTCCATTTCTTTTAGGTGGGGTTTTCATGTGCTTCCCTAGCTCATTCTGAGTCTTTGATGCCATCTCTTACCGAGCACCTAACTAGAAAACTGAAGTGTGAAGGCAGACACTTCTGTGTGTAGTGTGGGAGACTGTAGATAATAATACCAACTGGAATTGTTGAGTGCTTACTGTATGAAAGATACTGGTTTGATTGCTTTATATGTATTAGCTCATTTAATCTTCTTAAGTACACCATGAGGTAGTTAACTATTGTTGTCCCCATTTTATAGATGAGGAAATTGAGGTATTAAATGGTTAAGTGATTTGCCCAATGTTTTTCAGTTGGTGAGGAGGCTGTCATTCATAGGCAGGCAATCTGAAACCAGGCTGTGCACTTAAATGTCTCATAGATAATTACTCTAATTATCAATGGTAAGAATCTCATTGCTAAAATAATAATCATTTATCAATTCAAAGAGGCCCATACATTACAAACCCTTCTGTTTATATACATCATTCTTATCAAACTGTGTCTATTAACCCCTAATCTGCTTAAGTTTACTCTTAAGTATATTGATTACTTGGATACAAATACATAGGTTGTACCATTGGACTTTGAGAACCATCTCTTTGCCAGGAACTCAAACTTGATCCTGGAGCTCAAGGCTCACATACTGGCTGTCTTAATGAAGTCTTTACTTATTTCATAGGCCTGTCAAATGCAGATGAGACCTGATTATTCCCAAACCTGCTTTTTCTCCAGACTTCCGTATCTCAGTAAATCAAATCACCAACTACCCGATTTCACAAAGACCTAGGGATATGCCAATTTATTTATTTATTCCCTTCTCCTCTCACATCTGATCTGTCAACTCTTGTCTCTACTTCCAAAACATATTCTAAAACTTTTTTTTCCATTTTCCCTTTTTTGGTAAATCCATCAGAATACATGCTATCATCCTTTGTTTCCTTCACCATTGCAGTAAACTAACAGTGCTTCCAGTTTCCATCTTGTCCCTCTGTGCACTGCTCTTCACTCAGCGTCCAGAGTGATTCTTTTAAAATAGAAGTAGTTTCCTCTATTGGTTTCTCCCTGACACACAGAATAAAATCAAGATAGAAGTAGTTTCCTCTGTTGGTTTCTCCCTGACACACAGAATAAAATCGAGATTACTGATCGTGGCTGGTGTCTGCCAGGTGTTCTACTTACTCCACTTTGTGCTGTCCCAACACACCAGCCTTCGTTTTGTCTCTCAACAGGACAAGCTCATTCAGTTTTAGGCTTATGCGATAGCTTTTCCTCTTCCTTTCTGGGCCATCCTTCTCAATTTCAAATGGATAGCCTTTTAGTATTAAGACCTCAGTTCAAATAGCACCAAAAAATCAGCCAGTCTAGAGTAGTTCTACTAATTATTACAGTATGGTAATTATCAGCAGAACACTTATTACCAGCTTTTTTCCTTGATAAATTATTATAGTCTCCTCACACTAGAATGTAAGCTCCGTGTGAGCAGGGATTTGTTTATCCTGTTCTTTGCTGTATCCTCAGAGCCTAAAGTAGTATCTCGGTACACAGGGACACTTATTAAGTATTTGTTCATTAAGTAATTAATTTCATAGTCACATCTTGGAGACCTCAACATAGGAGTTGCACATCTAAAGAAAT